ATGCAAATGGATTTTGACATATCGTTTGGAAGGAATTCCTTCAAAATTGTAGGACGTCAGTCAGTTCTAGCAAAGGAACTGGTGATATATTTAGTTGAATGCGAGCATATAATCAATTTTTAAAATATTTTATTCCAGAGAACTTGTAATTTTGTGCATTGACACTTTTACGGATGTGTGTTCCAAAATTATATTATCAACTGAATCCTCTTATTAAAGTTGTGGTCTGTTATATCTGGGGATAAGTTATTCGACAAAATGTCCCCTTCGATCGATTCCAAACTTAGGTTCTTAATTTAAATATTCTAAATGAAATAATAATGTAATCTAAAAAATGTTTTATATATAAAATTATGCAAATTAGTCCATTACAAGCACCGAGTTTGAAAAAAATATGATTTGCAAAAAAGAGTGCTATAACGCCAAAAAAATGCATTTTCAAATTACCATTTGAAAAAAGTTGATATTTTGAGTTTCTATTAACACTTGCTGCCCGCTTATTAACGTTTTTGTGTATGAATAAAACTATAAACAAAACTACTTACTACAATCAAATAATATTTACCTAAAACTTCTTATTAAATGTAATTAAAAATCATCTGGCAAAACCATTTGACATTTGAAGTATGAGTCGCAGTCCGTTGTTTTATTTGAATTACGCTTCTACAAAAATTTTCAAATTAAAAATGTAAAGTTTTTACAAGGTATTAAAATGAAATCTCACCCTTCTCATAACTTAATGATTACCACGAATTCATTAAAACTAAGACTGGCCCAATCCGTACAGCTATTTTAAAGTTTATCCCGGATTGATATATCTTCTATATATAAAAATAAGTCGGGTTTTCCTTCCTGACGAAATAACTCCAGAACGCACGAACCGATTTCGACAATTTTGCATTCGTTGGTAAGGTCTCGAGCTCCGCAAGGTATGTAGCTAAGAAAATTAATGTTGCATGGCATCGTGCCTTAATGCAAATTGCTGGAAATTCACGCATCGTAATTAAAAATTTGAGTAATGATTTTTAGTGAGAATTATCAGAATTATGCTTAGTTAAGTCCACAAACAATTCTTGCCGCAAAGTATAATGATGTACACGCACTGAGTTTCACCATTCAATCCAAAATTGCTGGCAATTTGGTTTGACTTCGAACGATTGCAATTTCCAGTTCGTCTTACATTCGCAATAGCAAGTTACAAGGCCAATCGCTTAATGTTTGCGAGATAAATTTCAAATAGATTATTTAGAAAATCATTGTTTTTCACATAGGCAGTTATACGTTGCCCGTTCACGAGTTGGAAAACCATCCGCTTTGTTTGTGTTAACGTCAGACCAAAAAACAAAAAATGTGATTTACCAAAGATCACTTCCATCAAAACGGATAATATGCGGATTCACTTCCATTTACTTATAGAAGTTCAACTAAAAAACACTTCATTTTTGTAATCGAAATAAATTCATTACTGTTGTGCAATAAAATCAAATTTTTCCTTTTCAAACAAAAAATTTTTTCATCTTTCTCACGAAACCATCTAGTGGCAAAACGGAGTTCGTCGGGTTTGCTAGTAGCTATATAAAATGGACATTTCTTTTTTATGGATTTGCTTGCACTCATGTACATTTTTAACATGAGTACATATTGTAATAAATTTCAATGTGTTTATTTTGATATTCCTTTTTTTGCAACCATGTGTCCAAATAGTGGCATCTTTGTTATCACTTTGACTTCTTTGCTCTGGAAGTAATTGGGAAAAGACCCAATCAATAACAGCATTAGTATGTGAACAACATAAGGAAAATTCTGTAAAAATTTTAATATTATGTGCGATATGTTTAACTATTTTAATTTTTTCATTGCAAATTGGATTGCTGGAAAAAGTTCTTTCTATGCATTGGAAGGCCATTTGAATGATGAAATTATGTAATATAATGCAAGTTCGTACTGCTGATAAATTCCATTCTTTTGTGATATTTGTTGCCTTCTGTAAACTGTGACAATTGTCAAACCCTAAAAATATAAATGTCATGGACCATAAAACTGCAAAACTCATTATAGTATTGTAATCAATAACTTGTATTGTAAATAGATTGTACTGTAAATATTTGTAATGGTTACTTCCATATCTACTTAAACTGTACTAACGTTAATATCACATGTCATAATGCGCTGTTTATAAGCAATTTGCCGAAGATCTTGTATTTGTATGTACACATAATTGAAAATTTTATGAATATGATTTTCAAAATAAGAATATGTGTCATAATCCTATTTTCTTATTTATATCGCTGTCTATTTTAAATCGCAATAAATGATTAGAGAAAAATGTCTATGTTGACCCTTTCGATGAATTCCAAATTTAGGATCTGAATTTCAATAATCTAAATGCAATAATAATATAATTCAAAAAATGTTTTAGTAACACATTATTTACATTAAATCAATAAGTACTTTTAGAGCACAGCGTTTGAAATAAATAGAATGTGTCAAAAAGGAATACAGATGGCAGTGAGCAAACAAATGGTCACTTGAGAATTAAATAAAAACTTTATATAAAATCAAAATAAGCATTCTTATTAACATTTAAAAATATATATACTTTTTCAATATTAATTAAATTTTAAAATTAAAAGAATAACAACACTATCTAACACTGAACATAATCTGTTTTAACTTCAAAACCATTTGACATATGAGTAGGCGATTCATCTGTCATCACGAATAATATTGTGTGGGAACCCATTTAAATCATGTTCTGTTTACCAAAAATTTTCAAATTAAAAATGTGAAGTTTCTACGCGATTTTAAAATATTATCTCGCCTTTAGGGCCATCTCTGGATTGGCACGAATTTTTCAAGGCTAAGACTGGCCGAATCGGTTTAGCCGTTTCCGTGTTTTACCGGATCATTTGATCGAGAGCTTTATTTAAATATATAAGATAATCTATTTCAAATAATTTAAAACAATTATTGATTATGTTTATTTATTGAATGTTTAATTACGGTACGAAAAGTTTCAGCAATTTTCCTTAAGGCACAATGCACTGCGCCCCAAGTCCATTTCAATTTTTGGACGATTACAATAACTTACCCTACGGGAAGTTAAATGTGGATATCGTTTAGTCGGGTAAATTCAAGATGCTTAAGGTTTATTCCGTCTCTTACAGATACAAATAAGAAATAGATAAAAACAAGAAAAATATTAAAAATATTTTTGCAAGATGATTATAATAAATGAGTTATCTAATACAACTTACTCTTTAAATAATTAAACCCATTTAGACCTCTAAACGAATATTACAGTAACGTATTTATAGTTAAAATAGTGTTAAATGTTATTGAATTTATAGATATTTTATAACTTAACATTCAATTTTCCAAAGCAACTTTAAAGCAAAATTTTACAACACAAAGATAAAGGTCATTATTAAATGATCTATTATCATCCAATAACTTTTATATTGATGTTTGTATTATATTACTAAATATTTTTCACAATTTTTACTTTGGAATATATCGTTGAAAATATAGTTCTATAACTATTTGTGCTTCATGCCATGCATAATTTATTTGTCATATTTGTTTTTTATAAAATTGTTTTTTTTTTATAAAATCGATTTAATCATTCTGAAGGAGAAATTTGCTTTTACCAGCAAATCCAGCTTGCTAATTTATGTTTTCTCGACGATTCAAAATTTTCTTAAGCACTTGACCAAAATTTTGAAAAATGTAAGTGTGTGCTGATTTTTAGAAATTTATTCAAAAACGGCTGCTTCGATTTAAAATTATTTAAATATATTCTAAATAGCTCGATAAATGGAGGACCTAGTTGCTTGTTGTAATATTTTTTTTTAAATTATAATATCTTAAGATTTACTGATTATATTTTCACTAAATAAAAATAGGTATATTCTGTACTATTTCTCTATCAATTTAAGAAACGATAATTTTATAACTCTGGTTCATTATTTTACAATTAATCTTCTATGTTGGTGTTACAATTTACGTCGCCTTTGGGGCTACTGAAAATGCCAACAAAAAAAGTAACTGCAACAGAAAAAACGACAATCTCTATTTTTTGTCTTTTGTTTGTTTTTAATAAAATTGTCATTTTTCGAAAGTAAATGCAGCACATTATATAAAATAGTACAAATATTATATGATGAAAACATCTTTTCCGAAACTGTTTTATATTTTACTTAAACATAGCACTCTGTCAGATCTAGTTTCTCACTTCTCACATGTATAATATTATTGTAAAGAGATATTTGTACTATAAAATAACTGAGACAGCTTTGGAGTAGTGTTCTTGTATTTAAATATATATACAAATATTTACAAAGTTATAGTAAGTTCTGACAAGAGGCAAGATTAGTAAAGTCTTCTTATCGCTGGAAGGATCGTAGCCAAGCTTCTAGATTGAGCCAGTCACCAAACGTTTGAGTGTTCATTTCCGTGTATCTCAACCTTACTGGGTATATCGGGGTGGATGTTTCGTTGCCTTTTTATTCCTTCAGAGCAGACGTATGGTATACTCCTATAATCTGCTTTTTATCCGTGTTAGAGCCTATTTCATATGTTGTAACTCCTTTCTTGCTTGTTACAACGTATGGACCGTCATTTTTCGGGGCAAATTTTGATGTTTTGCCCTCTTTGGCTTTGTTTATAATTTGTGAATTAATCAGCACTTGGAGACTTAGTGCTCCTTAGACTTAGGTTTGTATGTCAGTTCCTTTGTTATTTCCTTGTCTGCATACGTTTTCCTGTATTCTTGCTCACGTTTATTAACTTCTTTTGCCTGTTGTATCGTTTTTGCCAACATTTTCAGGCGTGGTGTGTTTTTTGCCACAAAAATTTTGTTTTCCACGATTGCCTTTAAGTCGCGGTTTGCGTCATCTGGGCCCTCCCCCTCGAGTGAAGCTGTACTGATTGCATTTCTGCTAGCGCCTGTTCGTAGGATATAGCGTGTTCCATGCTCCGTTTGTTTCCTGGGAGGTTTTCTATGTGCGTTGATTAATTTCCTCATTCTCAGCCTTTTTTTCACACACAAAAAGATCGGTCGCCATGATTTCGTCTTGATGCTTTCCAAATATTTCTAAGTAAATCTGGTATGGCGCCTTCTTCGGTGAGAATGCTTTTTGTAATAGTTCAAGCGCGTGCTTCCAGTTATTTGCTTGCTCTTTGTTCCCTTTCCACCATAGTGCAGCAGTATCCGTTAGAAGAAGCGGTAATCCTTTTATCGCATTTTCGTCGCTTATCCCTTCTATTTCTTTGTATATCGCCACCGTTGTCAAGAAATGGTCCACTTCAGCTGGGTCTCTGTTTCCGCTGAATCGCGTACTGCAGTTAGCGAAGCTCCCACTCTTCTGCGGCTGTGTCGTAGGCTGTTGCACTGTATGTAACTGTACTACAGCGTTTAATATACACTGTAGCTGCTCTTCTGTCAGACTCATTTTGTTGCGTGGGCTTGTTCTTCTTTTATTCGAATTAGACTCCGTCTTGCTTATCTTGTCCCGTCGTTGGGCGCCAATTGTTAAGGGATATTTGTACTATAAAATAACTGAGACAGCTTTAGAGTAGTGTTTTTGTATTTAAATATATATACAAATATTTACAAAGTTATAGTAAGTTCTGACAAGAGGCAAGATTAGTAAAATCTTCTTATCGCTGGAAGGATCGTAGCCAAGCTTCTAGATTGAGCCAGTCACCAAACGTTTGAGTGTGTATTTCCGTGTATCTCAACATACTATATTCACTTGGAACGTCGGTTCAGACTCTCTCAAGTTGCTTTAATAAGTGTTCCTACTGTGTGTACTAACTTATTGGCGCGCTGAGAGCTGATCCGCAAAGAGACAGATTCTGAAACGGGGCTCTGGTTTTATACTCTGGAGGTCCGTCAAAGCCCATCCCTTGTTGCTCTGGGGGTAGGTGGTGGACATTCTCCCATCTCGTTCCATCTTCCCTGTCTGCGATGGTTTGTTCTTTTTCCTTATCTCGTCTTGGTCTTTGGTGGTCATGTCCTTTTCTGACCTGTGCTCATACTTGGACATGACCCCGTCGCGATGATGCAATTTGTGTTTGTGTGCTCATGCAATATCTTCTTTCTCTCATAACCGACGTGCTCGCCTGTTCTCGCGCACGTCGAACTACCCTCTCAGTGTGCCTCGATGCGTCTCGGTGCGCCTACAACTACTAGTGACAAGTGCACATATACCGTTACTTGTCGCGACACTGTTTACTTAGCATGGGCCGCACTGGAGTGTTTTTATCTAAATATTTAACATGCTACACTATTTATATCCCTTATTATTTGCTATCCCTGGGGCGTTAGCTAATTTTCTGTGAAGAAGGTTGTAGATCAAATAAGTTTGAGAATCACTGATGTATGTGTTGAATTATGAAAGTTCATTAAAGTTTGACATAATAGTCTGCGTTTAGGACCTACATACGCGACTTTGTGCACTATACTATTATATATTAATACTAGCAAACCCGACGAACTCCGTTTTTCCACCAGTTGGTTTCGTGAGAAAGATGAAGAATTTTTTTGTTTGTTTTATATTTGAAAAGGAAAAAATTGTTTTTATTACACAACAGTAATGAATTTGTTTCGATTACAACAATGAAGTGTTTTTACACATTTTTGGTTTTTTGGTCTGACGTTAACACAAACAAAGCGGATGGTTTTCTAACTCGTGAACAGGCAACGTATAACTGCCCATATGAAAAACAATAATTTTCTAAATAATCCCGCATAATTTTAAATTTATCCCGCAAACACTAAGCAATTGGCCTTGCGACCTGTTGTCATTGCGAACGCGAGGCAAACTGAAAATTGTAATTGTTTGAAGTCAAACGGAAGACCAGTCGATATCATTGGATGTCACCAAAATGTCAGCAATTTTTGATTGAAGTGCGTGTACATCATTATTCTTTGCGACAAGAATTGCTCGTTGACTTAACCAAGCATAACTCTGATAATTCTCACTAATGTTATTACTCGAATTTTTAATTACGGTGCGTGAAGTTCCACCATTTTGCATTGAGGCACATCAATTTAAAATTAACAATTATTGATTATTTTCATTACTCGAATTTTTAATTACGGTGCGTGACGTTCCAGCAATTTGCATTGAGGCATGATGCCATGCACCATTAATTTTCGTAGCTATAAAGCTTGCGGAGCCCGAGGCCTTTCTAACAAATGCAAAATTGTCGAAATCAGTTCGTGCGTTCTGGAGTTATATCGTCAGGAAGAAAAATCCGACTTATTTTTATATATGTAGATAATGACACTTATCATTATTGTTTTTGAATGATATTTATTAGAAATCGCAATAATTAGTTTTTATTAAAATCAAAAGCTGCATTTTTAAAATAAGCATTTGAAAATTTTATCTGAATTGCTAAATCTAATGTCTCATTGAAAAAGTCGATTTTTCACACGTATGGGAAAGTTCACCCAACATGCCAAGGCAAAATATCATTTACACTTATACTAGTTTGGTTTTGACCAACAGTGTGGTATAAAAACTATATTTATATATATATATATATATATATATATATATATATATATACTAGCTGACCCGACAGACGTTGTTCTGTATCTACGTCTACAATTTTTCAATATTTTATACTAATATTTACTGCTTAGTTAAAAATAATAATTACTGTTTTTTGAATTACTATTTACACCAATATATGAGTGTTAATGTAATTTGTCAAATCTTGTTCACATGTGCTCTATTCAACTTACGATCAACAAAATTATTGCTCTGTGAATTTTTTTACTGTGCTCCAATTTACTTGATATTTTGGAAATAGGCTATCTTTATCTTAAGTTCAGAAGTGAAAACAATTTGCACTCTGTCACCATCCACCGCATGAATTGGATTATTACTCTTTTAATTCTGATTTTATCAGAACTTGTAATACACTATTGTAAAGGTGATTAAATGAGCTACAACTTTCTATATCATAAATTTTACCGTAACTTCTCTTATTGTGAAACGTCGAAGGGTTAAAGGGCTCGAAAGAACTCTGGTTGGACAGCCGCGCACTCCTTAATTAATAGTTCTATCAATATTTGTGTAATGGAAAAATAATAAACAACAATACTTAGTCAGAAAAATACCTCGAATTTTCATATATATAAACTTTTATAAGTATTCTTTCAGAGATATTATAATGAGAAATTGGATGTTTTTTTTTAATGTTTTTTTTTTCATGAAATCATGAGTTTTTTGAAAATCGTTTGTACTAAAGTTGTGGTATTTTCTAGAATCCATCAAGATCTCTTAAACCAAGTTGATTCTAGATGGAATACGATTATTTGTAAATTTGATGGAAATGGCACTATTTGATTTAAATGTAAAAACTTTACATTTACAGATGCATGTTATATTATTTGCATGTTATATTAATTCAATTTTTGGCACATTTCAGCTGCTTTTCGGCATTAATAATGTAGACATTACATTTTCCTTATTCATAATCATGAATTTATTATATTTTAATATTGCCTTAGCCTATAAGTGAATAGAAATGTTTGGCAAATGACAGTCTTCAATTGTTTTTAATGTCAAACTAAGCTTCAAATATTTTCAAGGGCAAACAATGATAAGCGGTTTTTTGTAATTTTTTCTATTTATTTCTACAATCTAACTATATTTCTATGAATCAAAACATTCTAAAAAATTTCCCGAACAAATTTCAGGAAGATTCATGAAAATCCGAATTATAGTTTAGGAGGATTGATGAAACTTACATTGTTACAGAAGAATTTTATACATATATATATATATATATATATATATATATATATATATATATATATATATATATATTTTGTTGAGTCTATAACCTAATATGATAAAGACAAGTTCTGCAAATAAATGAAGATTTATGATTTATTTCAGACAAACATTGATAGTGCGTTTGACTTTTAACCCAAATGTATGTATCAATAATATGAAAGGACGCACACTTAGATTCATTCATCAGTCGCATGTTTCATATTTCGATATGAATAACAGTGTTTGTGCGTAGTACCGCGTAGTATCATTTGTCGATAGATTAAACAAATTAACATCTAACGTTTTAAATGCGTAATAATAATTTATATTAGAGCTTTCTGAACCCATATTATCAAAGCGTAATTTTACACTCCGTTCACCTACATTGTATAAAGAACATCATTCTACAATATACTTTATAAACTTTTGCTATAGTAAATAATTTGCTTAAGAAAAAAATTGCGACCTATGTGAGGTAAAATTCACCATTTTATGAAAAAACTAGTGGTGCATGACATTGTGTCTTGAAGCAAATTGCTGGAACTTTCCATACGGTTGTGAAATATTCGTAAAATATTAAGTATTTTCGAAGTGATACCCAGTTCAACGTCTTCATTTGTTCCGGGAGAAAGTTTGTTATGCAAAAAATGCGCTATACAAAACGTGTTTTTTACATTAAAATAAAATTAATTCGTTTTGTAGTTTGAAATATGGTCATAGAAAATAAGATATATTTCACATATAATTAAGACATTTTAAAAAAATATTGCTTATTTGCAAAATAAATTATTATGACAGTCGTCCTGCTTCTTTTTTTGCCCTTTTAGCTTTTGAGTTTTCAAATAAAACTGTCTATAGTTTTTCTTTATTTCTCTTCTTTCAGACCTACCACAAATAATAGGTAAGCTCATCATTGTACAACTTTCTCATCATCTTAAAATCAATCACGATAGAAAAGTAAACATTTACGAATTATTGGAACGCCCGCACCGAAAAAATAAGTTCGTTATGCGCAAAAATCATTGTGCAAGGCGTACGTTATGCGGGGTATCCCTGTGTATTATTATAAATACTGCATCTTTTATTATTTTCATTTTATAGACGTTATATTTTTTTAAATTAAACTATATAATTGAGCTTAAGAACTTTAGACAGATTATATTAATCACTTCCCCAGTAGAAATACATCTGAGCTGGAGATGTTTTTAATGCAAGCTAAATGTTTACGCGTGTAGCTATGTTGAGCCCACGTTCACAACGTACGATTAATGGGAGCGGTATATGAGACGGCAAATATTAGATTTACATGAATTTTCCATATTGCTAAATGTGGAATGAATATGAGCGATATATGATATGTTTTACATATGATTTTTCCATATTGCTGAATGTGAGCGATATATGAAACGCTGAATATGAGTTTTACATGGTTAATTCATATTGCTAAATGTAAGCTGTGTATGAGATTACTAAATATTGTAGGATTTAGAATATAGAATTATTCACATACAAATCATTTAAGATTTTGCTAATAAAGAACGAATGTGGAATATGTTTTTTCTTCTATTGCTCTCTCTCTCTCTCTCTCTCTCTCTATATATATATATATATATATATATATATATATATATATATATATATAAGTTATGTTCAAA